GTGTGTGTGTGTGTGTGTGTGTGTGTATTCACTGCATCTTCTGTCGTAGCTTGCCACAATTGGTCGATGTAAGGAGTGGTGGTAGATGCATGGCTAGATAGCTCAGTGTACACTGCCTCGATCTGTCTCGCTTGTGTTTGTGTCAGCTATAGGAGTAGTACAGTAGCTACAGTAGGTGTGTTACTGTCGCACTTAAAATAGGCCCTACTAGTTTTACTGTTACTGTTTTACTGACTGGTTACGTAACTTACTTGAGCTGAGAGGGTCTATGTCCAACAGCTAGGGTACTATCGGAGGGTACCCTGGGTACGGTCCCTGGTACTATCTAATATGCCGGACCGTACCTCGCCTACTCCACTAACGAGTCTAGGGAGTCGCCTAGCTACGCCTACTCCCTAACACTAACACTAACCCTAACCCTAACCCTAACCTTAACCATATCAGATAGTTACCAGTGTACGTTCCGGTATACCGGACCGTACCCAGGGTACGTTCCGGCAGTACCCTGGGGGACATAGACCCTATGAGCCGTACTGAACGATTACTTAACATGCTAACGTAACACCTGGTGATCACATCAGGAGTGAATAATAATAAATCTAATATATCATTTATATATAGATAGATACAGATATAGATAGATCTATATCTATATAGATATAATATATCAATAATCCATTATTATTCACTCCTGACAACATCTAACATGATCAAAACCTGGTTGATATTTAACGTGACAATCACTATCTGGATACAGGTAATATAACGCACGTGTTATATGCGGCCTCTACCGATCTCTCTTCTTTATCACTCGATCAATATATCTATTTGAGATATTGTTAGTTTTTCACACCCTCGATCCATGTACCAGTAGCACACATAGGTGTGTGAAATTATCAATGTGATAATGATTGCCGTTGTTATTGATGACATTGTGTCATCGTTGAAACACTGTACCGTCCTGTCATTGCATGATGACATTGTGTATCATTGCAACACCGTGCCATCATTGAAACATTGTCATAATGAAACATTGTGCAATCGCTGAAACATTATGTCATCATTGAAACATTGTCTCTCATCACTGAAAATTTAAACATTATGTCACCACTGAAACATTGTGCCATCATTGAAACATTGTGTCATCGCTGAAACATTGTGTCATCGCTGAAACATTATGCCCTGTAGCACTCGGCGTGGTAGCGCCTCCTGCGAGCGACAGACAAAACCGCCATTCTGAAGCGAAAAATAACTGGCACGCGTCGAGGCCTGCTTCAGAAATTTTATTGCTTTTAACTGCTCAACACTATTGGCCGTCTGTGTCAGATTTTTCCCTCGTGAAAAAAAAATATGTCTTCAGGTACAGTGTAATTTGTATTTTTGAATTAGCATGTATTTAATAATAGTAATAAATGAGATGAGCTGATGAGTGATAATTAGAAAATAGACAATTAGACTGCATCAGGGTCTAATGTCCCCAGGGTACTGCCCGGATACGTACGCCTGGGGTACGGGTTAACGTATCTGATATGGTTTAGGGTTAGGTAGGGTTAGGGTTAGGGAGTAGGCGTAGGCGACTCCTGATCGTTAGTGGAGTAGCGCGAGTAACGGTCCGGCATATTAGATAGTACCAGGGTATTATCCGACGCGACCCAGGGTACGTTCCGGCAGGTACCCCTAGGGGACATAGACCCTCTCCAGCGATAAATCTAGGGCAGTCGCAAAGTCTGCTTGCGACTAGCGGTAAAAGTAGGGAACGTAGACATGCATTGTAAACACGGACATCACTGAATTTTCGGGCTCGGCTCGCTGAACAGCTTTGGTCGCTGGAATCTCCTCGGCGATAGGGCTACCAAGGAAGGCTATATATAGCAGGGAGAAAGAATCTTTGCCATATTGTGGCCCTATTGGCCTAGCAGGCAGATAGTGTGTCTGATTGTCTGCTGGGTTCGGGTGCTGCACAGCCGTTTTCGCTGATTATGGTCGCATAGATGGCGTCCTTGCGGCAAAAATCATGCACAAGCCAATCCGCTTCCTCTCGCTTGTTATATGGGCTGAGCGCCAGAGGAGCTAAATAATTATTTAGGCTCCTGGGCTGACCCCAGGCCTGGCTTTTCTGCCGACATGTCACTGCCTCTATTAGAGATCGCTTACACGTCGCTAGTGATCAGACTGCCAGCGCAAAGCAGCTGGGGAGACAATTCGGGGTACTCGATTAGTTGCCGGCGAAAGTGGTTGCACAGGCCACGAAGAACGCAAGCAACGGGGGATAGGCGGATTGAGGGCATTAGGGCCGAAGGGCGCATTGCCCGGTATCCAGGAGTGTGTATATTAGATTATGACTACTCGATGTGACAATAATTTATATTATGACACTCTATGTGACATCTAATTATGACAGCTACGTGACAATAATCTATATTATGCCCTGCCTGTTGCGTGTAGCAGCGCAATCTCACCACAGAGTGCACGTGACTATCGGCTCTTGATTTGCGTTAAATTGCGCTGCCAGCAACAACAAGAGAGGGAGGAGTGGAGGTCATCGTCTGTGGTGAGATGTGTAGGGGCAGCGATGACGCGCTCGTTCACCTTCTCTGAAAAGTCTGTTTGTGTCGCGGCGTAGTGCATGGTGGCGCGTCCCGTCCGTGTGGTGCCAGAGTCCGCTTGAAGAAAACATCAGACGACGCAATGGGCCGGCGTGGGCCGGACGGCCGGCGTGCCCGGCGCCGGGGTGTCACGGGAGCGGTGGGAGAACGTCGATGATCATGATGTGATGTCACACCAATGGTTCAACGATGACACAATGTTTCAAGCGATGACACAATGTTTATAACGATGACAGCAAGTTTACAGCGAATGACGACAGGGATGTTGGCAGCAGACAGGCAATGCTTCTTACGCCCCTCGCACACAGGGAGTGCGTTTCAGAGCGAGAGGTGACAGGCGGGCGGATCTGCTTTCAAGATGCACGCAAGTGGTTTCAAATGTTGGAGAGAGAGCTGTTCGATACGACGCAATGTAAGAGGGCGGTGGGCAGTGAATCATGATGTTTCGACGATGACACAGGGAGTGTTCAATGATGACAATGGATGTTTCAGCGATGAATCAATGTTTTGCAAGTGGATGGGCAGCAATGTTTCATGCGATGACACAATGTTGTCAACGATGACCAACTGGTGTTCAGCGATGTACACGAAGTATTTGCAGCGATGAAGCACAGTATGTTGTCAATCGATGAGCACAATGTTTCAGACGTGACGCGAATGTTTCAAGTGTTGGGCAGCAATGTTTCAATGAGTGACCCAATGTAAGCGGTGGCATGATCAAATGGATGTTTTAACGATGACAGCAGATGGTGTTCAGATGATGACACAATGTTGTTCAGCGGATGACTCAAAGTGTTTCAATGATGGCACAGATGGTTTCAATGATGACACAAATGTTCATGATGG